AGTCCCCTATACCCTTGGCTACCTTCCTCCACACTCCTTTCCATCAGACTGACACGCCTCACGGGTTTGCCAGCACCCCATTGACCTCAGTTGGATCCGGAGTTAGCATCCTCTTCACACCTCAATGTCCCCAAGCCTCCACTTGGATCCAGAGTTAGCATCCTGTCCACACCTCCCAGCCCCGACACACCATACAAGCTGCCTCATCACTGGACCCTCTGCAGTCTCCTGGCGACAGACAGAGCATATTGTCCGAAACGTTGTGTACCACCGGTTCTTTTCAGAACCCCACATACTTAAAAAAGAGATATATCCATGGTGATACTGCTAACTTATCTGGTTTACTCGCTACCTCCATCATGAAAAGCTTCAAACTTCATCTCCACCGTGCATCATATTAATCAATGTCAACCCTTGTCATTTTTTGTTTTAACCACGATACGAAATTTAGTGAAATACCAAAACAAAACAGCTCAACTGAATAAAAATGACTGTACAACACCACTCAAGTATACCCAACATCCCCATTGGCTCCTGAATTTTCCATACACTTTCACCAAACATTGAGAATTTGCTTTAAATAAAAGCAAGATATGTAGGATTGATGATGGTGACTTAATAGTTGAGGAAAATTTTAGTCAGTTTCAATCATGGGTACACGAACTGTGTCCATGTACAGTATGTGCGGGCACAGGGACCATGTAAACTGGTGGTTGAGGAGGCATAACACAGGCCACAGAGAAATACCCAACCGATGAAATATGGAAGCAAAGGAACACACAATGAACAAAGTACAAGAATTTGGATGTTGTTTATTTTCAGCTTTTTTTCTTTTTGGTGCAAGTTGGAAGTGTTGGCCAAATATCCTCATGCAAACACATGGATGAGGCAGGTTACCACACTTGTGACCTTGCCTGCAGTAGGAACAGGTGCATCAGTGACTTAAAAATGCTATACTAAAAGGCTGCTCCATTGAACATTTGTGTGTATTGGTGGTGTTTGTTATCGGGGTGTTATACTCTATTGAAAAAAAAACGTCCTCAAGTCTCATTTTTCGGGATTGGGTCACAAATAAACTTGGAAAGGTTCATACCATGGTCATCGTTCATTTCTTATTACATGTGATTTTCTCATAACAACTCTAACGTATTTTGCCAATAATACATTCAGATCCAGAGACCAATTCGACACTGGCCCCAGTCATGTACGATGAGACAGAGGAGCCCCAAATGGCTGAGCTGTCGCATACCAGTGCCTCGCTGGGTTACACCATGGACCTGGAGCTGCCTGGTACCCCGCAGAGCAGCGACCCCAACGTTGGCATAGGTGGTGGGGTGATGGGGAACCGTGACAGCCAGGCAAGCTTCAGCAGCACCAGCAGCACCCGACAGCTGCTGGCCTCTACACCTAGCAACATCCAGCTGGAAGAAGCTCACGAGCAGATGGTGTAGGGCACCATGATTGTATCCTGGCATGCAACTTAAGTACTATTCAAGTACATTTGCTATTGATGTGTATGTGAAGTACTCGACTGTAACCTCGCCTTACATGCAACATTCTGTCACCTGAATGCCAGATAATGGATTTGGAGCTGTGGTCAAAAGTGTCCGTTCACTTTGGACCGAGTATATTTAATTACAATGTGTTAGATGTCACCCATCCCTGGCTATCAATCTTTTTGTAGCTGGTCAGTGATTTTTAAACACTTGTCTTGTATAATTTAGTTGAAGTTTTGACCAGTCAGCTTCAGCATAAAGAACATTACAAAGAACCGTGAAAATCTCAAAAATTGTAATGAGTTCCTCCAGTCCAATTGTATGTAAAACTTTTGATTGAAACCGTGAGGCTGGGTCATATCCCATACAATGAAAAGCTATACATAATAGACTTGACAAATCACTGTAACACTGTACTATAGTACAGTGTTACAGGGGTGTTATCGCTTATGAGTTATGTCGACCCTTGGAAGAAATAGTTGGTTATGTTACTTCTTTAGATGAGAAACGTTTAAAGCCAGGGAAAATACAGCTCAAAATAAAAGCTGAATTTTTAAGCTCCCACCACTTAATAGCTTGGTAAATTAGTTTGGTTTCTTGTGGTTTCTCTTTGAGTGTGTACAACTCCATTTAGTTTGTGTTCCTGTGTTTTTGCATCAGCGTGAAAAAAAATTTATGTCCAGCATTCACGTAACCTGAATAGCATGTATACGTTGCTATAGAATATTTGTATGATTGGCTTGCAGACTATTACTGATCTGTCATGAAATGGTCAAGTTCATTTTGCTCTGATAACTGATCTAGAATAAAATTCAGGAGTTTTAAATGCACTCACAAATGCATGATGTTGGATAACCCCCAAGAAGAAACATTGGTTGATTTTATTTTTCATAAATTAAAAAGATTCCTATGTCAGAGTATTGAAATGCTCCAGGACCAAGTCACTTGCAGGATTTTCTTGGCAACTAGTTTTAACCCCATCTTGGTTGGAAACAAAAAGCTCAGAATCATGAAACAGAAACCTAAAAAGCCAACTTCCATCGTGTGTAATTTTCCAGGAAGCCTGCATTGAAAAGTGTATCATGTTTAAAGTGTCTGGTGTTGCAGTTGAGGGTTGCAGTGCATGAGTTGTCCTTCAAGTTCCCTATAGACCTTGCATTGTGTGACTTGGCCTTCTAATACAGAAATGTAATTAAATGTACATATATGTTGAATGTTCAAAATAAATTTTTATATTAATGACGGGATGAACTTTTTGCAGATATGATTGTAAATGTTTTTATTTCCTTCAAAAGCTGAGTTTTTGTCTTATTCATAGCAGTCATTCACTTGTGTGCCAGATGCACACATTGAATAATTATATGTAAAAATGAAGCTTTCTGTAAGCAGAGATGTGTAAATAAATGATCACTAAAAAACTGTGAGCACAGATGCTTCATCAAGCATGGAAAAAATGCAACTAATTTGTTTGTGCATGTTTAAGAAATTATTTTACTATTATTTAATAAGTCTGATTGGAAACAGTGCAGTATCCATTAAGTGTATTTCAGTATCTATGTAGTAAAGCATTACTTTGTTAATGAAAGAATTCCTATTAATTGTTCAAATAACAACCTGAAAACATGACTCCAGGAAATCGTGGTATCATGCTAAAATCTGCTAAAAGTTGACGTAAGGCTCTATTTTTAAGAGTTGTTGTGTAGGTCATGGTTACTGTCCAAGCTCTTCCGTAGTACAGCTGTCAATATTACCTTAATTAGACGTGCACCTTCTCTCTCAAAATCAGTTGATTTCCTCTTTTTTGCGGCCGGGTGGGCACTATTACCGCAAAATACATACAAAACCTGGTGCCATTGGAATAGCCCCTCGCCCCACCCCTTTCCTCTGAATTCCCAGTTGCATGTCTGCCTAACGTATTCAGAGAAAGCATTTTCCTTGTGAAAATGAAGAGATTCAAAATATTGTTAATCTAGAGTATGAATTAAACACATCACCGTAGTGAGAAATTAAACTGCTGCAGATGTTGGTCACTTTCTTTGCAAAGCACTGTTTACAGTGGGTCCTTTTCATGAAGCTACTTAGCAGGAATCTCTTTACAGCAAAATTTAAGCACTGTATCGATTTTCTCAGCATCCACCCAGTGTTTTCATGGCTGTCTCAGGATGTGACTTGATTACAATACAGGATGTTTGCTCCACGGGCGTCGCTAGAGGGAGGTTGTAGGAGGATACCCCCCCCCATTGGTTAGTTTTGTCGGAAAAGTTATGGTCCTTCGGCAAAATAAAAGAACGGAGAATGAAGATGAAAGGAAGGCGGATACGGTGCACTTGTTTAGTGTGACGGTCCGTCAGCAAATTTCATATGGCAACCCCCCCCCTCAGTATGGTCTAGCGACGCCCGTGGTTAGCTTTTAGCAGCTTTAAAATGATAATGACGTGGACCTGTCGGTATTGAGAAGGATAAATGTGAGGTATATTGCCATATTCTTCATTGTTTACAAATAACTGCAAGTCGAAAGATTAACTTGCAACCCCCAATTTTGCATTCAGAGTAAGCGCACATAATCGAGTCCACGGGTCAAATTGTAACACGCAAATCTGTGAATTTGAATGCAAAAAAATGTTTTAAAATTGCTGTGAAATTAACCAACATGCAACCAACAGCAACCTTTGTTTTCAAATTGAATAGCTTCGTTTCGTCTTTTGTCCCACCATTCTAACTGTTGCTCAATCGAATTCAAACCTTGAGTACACATTTGCGGCGAGAGTGGTGCATTTCGTCTCTATGCCGAACCGTGTCGGGAAAAAAAATCGTCATTTTTCACACAAAGTAAAGAAAGGTTTGTTCATTTCGTCGAACTTCGTTGTGACAAGCAGGAGAAAAAACAACAAAACAGTCTCACATAAATTGGCACCGTCTCTTTTTTAATCTATTAGTTTCTTGTTTCTTTTGAATTGTTTTTTGCCAATATTTTTCAAGTTGAAGACAGAAGTGGCCAGAAGGAGATTTCAATGCACGCATTGGGAGAGACAGTCTTGAAAGGTCAAACTATGGAGTAGGCAAAGCCATTTAAAAATGGCCTACTCGTCCTCAGCAAATACCATCGACACAACTTTGCCATTACGAACACCGTCAATGTCCTGGCTGCCAAACAAACGTAAAACCACTTGGTGGCACCCCCGGCCAAAAGACTGGCACCTAATCGATTTTGTCACAGTCCGACAGAGCATAGACAGAGAGGCATCGAAGACGGCAAGGTCACATTTGTCATGCGTGGTGAAGACTATTAGTGTGACCAAAGGAGGGAAAAGCCAATTCACATCAAACCAAAGCGTCCAAGGAAAAGAGCTAACCCTTAGATCAGACTCACCGTGGCCTTGCTGAAAGACCCTCAGAGAGCTGCCGAAGCCTTCAGCCCGGAAGAAGTGGAGAACGCCCTGCAGCCTGAAGTTCCTAAAGAACGAAACGGCATCGGGTATGGATAACCTCCACACATGATTTCTCAAGAACCAGTGTCATGAATTTACATCTTGGTTGCAAAGCTTAAACCCGGTCCACTTGTCTTGCTTCCTCCAGCATTCCATCCTGCTGGAGGACAGCTAAAGTGATTGCCATCCTCAAGCTGAAGAAACCTGCTAACGATCTTAAGAGCTATCGCCCAATCGCCTAGCTCTCGTACCTGTACATGCTTCTTGAAAGATTGAGCCTACAGTCAGACTCATTGACACCGTCAAAGAGAAACTTGAATCGCGCAGGTTTACCTTTAGATAAACACGACCCGTACTGAATCATCCGTCTTCCATCTGGCAAACCACTGCGCAAAACGGCAGCTCATACGTCTCACTCAACGGCACCAGGCTCAAATTTGACCCCACAGCGAGGTACCTTAGTGTCACCCTTGAATGCAGCCTCACCTTCAACCAGCATGAGTTGGTTGCAGCTGCAAAGACTCATGCTAGAGTTTCCCTGCTCGAGAAGCTGGCTGGAACTGGCTAGGGCACTTATCTTACCAGCCTCCGCACCTCCACACTTGCCCTCATCTTCTCTACGGCTGAATAAGCTACACTTGCCTGGAGCCACGGCACTCACACCCTGTGAGGTAGACGCTGTCCTGAATGATGTCATGAGACTCATCAGAGAAACCCTCACACCCACACCTTTGAGCTATCCACCAGGCCCAGCCAACACTGGGATCATGGCCTAAAGGTGACCCAGGGATGAAAGGACCAGGCTGAAACGGTTGGCCCAAGGCCGGCTTGCCACAGCGGGCCCAACTCCAGCCAGCCTTGGGCCGACTGCTGTCGGGACTGGGCCAGGTCAGCTTATATGCTCACCCGCCACGGGCCAGATCTCAGCCAGATGTGGTATGTTTGTGGTAACTCAGAGCTGGCAGCTGGTTGGCCCAGAGCTGGTTCATATTATTTCAGCTTGGTTAATATGCCACTATTTGTTGAATTCACATTAGTTACTTATGAGTGCCGACGTCATAGATATCTATGACGAGGCACCAGAATTTCTCAATGTTTGGCCCTTTAACAGTCCTTGCAGAACTGTATGTCCATCCAATTCAAACACTATTTCAGTAGCCACTGAGTGCCTTTGTAACTTTGGTTTGCTCGGACACTGATCCCAAATCGTGAAAGAATTTTAGGTGGTGATTCCTACGTTTTATAGTTACATGTATATAGCTCCATTTTGTAAAGGATAAGGAGGTGATTCCATCCCCCTTCCATCTCTTTTTTACCGTCTACTATACTAGGCCCTATGCATGGACTGGCCCAACCCTGACCCAAAGCTGGCACCAGCTTCTATGGTATATGAACCGGTGCCAGCAGTGGGCCATCAATGGTCCAGGGCTGGCACAGCTGAGCCAACCCTTGCCGGATCATCCCAACTCTCGGCCAGGCCTGGGCTGACAGTTCAAGATTCAAGATTCAAATTCATTATTGTCCATGCAAAAATTCACATAGAAATTTCCTTTGGCTTGTTACAATAAGTAAGTTATTGCATTCATCAATATTACAGTCACAATCAATAGCAAAACAACAAAATTGCATTAAAGTAACATAAATGGCAATCACAGTCTACAAAGATAATAGTATCCTCAATGAAACTGTTTCCACAGTGAAAGTGTGTGTGGGTGTGTGTGGGTGTGTGTGTGTGTGGGGGGGGTAAATATCCAAATAAATGGTTACCGTGTCACGTTTGCATTGTAACAGTGGATTGAATTTGGAATAAATGATTGTCTGTATTGAAGCCGACTTGCGAGTGGGGGGCACAGACGAATCCATAACGATTAAACCTGTACACAACATTCGTTGAGTGGATGGGTTATGTCTGACTTTATTTTTTGTGCTTTGGCCAGAAGACAAGTGTCATACATGCCGACTCTTCTTGTCCTCAGGCTATTAGGTTTGTGCCATTTGCTGGGGTGTTGTCAGGCATTTCTCCAGCCCAGTTAAGGAGAGATGTACAGACTGTCAAGCTTGCCAGAAGCATTACCAGGAAGGCTGCATTGTCCCTGATTGCCTTTGCTGACCAGCGCCTACCAAGAAGACACTTAGCTACGCAAGCCACTGAGCTGCCACTGCTCGGGTCTTCCTCCACAAGATTGGCGCAGAAACATCACCAAACTGTGCCTGTGGAGAAATATATGTACAGACAATGGAACACACCACAGCGATTGCCCTTTTCATGAGTCTCCCCACGGTGTTCCTGATCTTATGAAAGCTCGACCATGATACCATCAGCTGGTTGAACAGGGAATAACTGCTGGATGTATTGCTGATGCAGAGTCCGACGCACAAACGAAGGACGCCCTCTATAAAACTCTATAAATAACAAGCTGATCATGAAAAGATTACATCAAAGGGCGCCCTCTATAGGTAATTAATGATACGGGCAGTGGATATTATAATTGAATTAATGTTCCGTATCAGTAGAATCCACATTTTAAAGTTTCTCGAAAATACAAACAAAATTGAATGAGCCCTCCTTCGATCAAAATGTACAGATTACCGGCAAGAGTCAGGAATCCATTACCATAACTGAGAGGCTCTATTCAAGACTCACCATTTTCAACGCTTAGTGAGCCTTATCAATGGTCCTATCCAGATTATTTACTCTGTTGCTCATCAGAGGACAAGGTGCAGTGATCATTAAAGCCTCGATGACGCATTGCACTCAAGACAAAAATAATGCGTCATTCTTCCTCCAATTTGTAGATTGCCACCCCTTTTTTTTATTTACACAGGGAACAAAGATTAGACATAAGATTCCAAGAAATATGTGACATCTCATTTGATATCCCCAACAATAATCCACAAACTGCAGGGCCCACCTTTTCAGGCGTGAAACTGCAAAGAATGATATGATCTTCTTGATTGTTGATGCAAATTACAGATTAGACGAATCGCATGCCTGAATTTATTCATTTTCCAAAGATGGATTCCTTCGCTGATACTTGTGCAGTTAACATGCAGCATTAACATTAACCATCAGCCGGGGGGGGGGCTAAAAAGACTCCATTTTTCCAGCTGAGCCAAAAAATTTTTATCTGTTTTTGGCGATACAAAAGCACGTCCAGCAGTGGAAATGAAAAGCTCTACCCCTATGGTGCCGTAGTATGATGGCCAGTGTGAGAATCCACATTCCCACTTCCACATTTTACGCTTTTAAAATGATGAAATTAGCTTTAAAAACTTATTTCATGGTAGATTACTGTACGATGAAATAACTGATTTCAAAATTTTTGCACGCGCCGAACATTTCCAACACAATCGACCGGCAGAGCGTGCAGCCTGGGTTTGATCTCGTGAGATTGCCGGATGGGTAATCCAACAAGTACATGATACAACATATGCGACAAGTATCGGATCTCGCTGAAGCCGACAACAGGCAAGTCAGCAGTCTTCGGGGCAGACTAGTCGGTAGGATTACGGCAGGTCCATCCACTGAGTCGCGAAATTAGCGCACAGATCTGCATCAAAGTAAACATGCACACCTCAGAGCAGGAACTACAAAATCATTCTGTTCGGGGAATTCACATATGAAAACTTTATGAATGGATCCAACTCCCGATTAGACCTTGATTAGACAACCGACGGACTCTCTAATTCACAAACAGACCACCTCAGTGAATCGATCTTAATTCGGCCCAGCGACAATTCATGTCACTATGGCAACGGGGGACGCACTGCGCAAGCGCGAACTATCCGGGGGACAGTGGTGAACAAAATGAGCCTCTTAGGGTGAAAGGAAGGCCATTGATTGGGGATCTAGTGTATTGAAAGCGCTGAATGCCTCTGCTGAATCCAGTTTCTGTAGTGCAGTCAACTACGGTCGTGCACAACTTCCCCGAGCACATAAGCTTAAATGTCATTTTCACGGCGACACGTCACGCGAGGTTACTTACAACAACCATAGAGCAACAACACACGAAGCTCATTAACGTCACTAGATTTCTGTTATGAACGGGAATCTGAAGTTGATTCGATTATAATTGTGCTTTCAACGGCGACTTGTTTGGAGATCTGACACATGCTTGGAGACCGTTCGCACACCAGATGGCCCATGTGCCGTGACCTTGCACCTTTCCTCTGAACAGATCTCAATGGTAAGCAATATTCATGTATTCAGCATTCCGACAGTTATCATTGCATTGCCATTGTGCTAATATAGAGATGTCATCGTTGGTATGCACGCTATTTGCGGTTGCGTGCTGTTTACAGTCATATACATGTACATGTACATTGTAATATCGTCTGGTGTCAACTGAATAAAGTTGTTCTTTTCAATCAGTTGCTTTATGATTATTTTTTTTTGTTATAAATGGAAGAGCTTAATAACTCATACTTTGTCACGTCTCAGTCAAACTTGCTGAGTGCACGCTTCACAGCATCACGCATGACGTTCATTTGTCACAGTTTCTGTGTGTGGAAAGTGGCTACACAAACATAAGAGAAAGTGACATTTCACTAAACTTTCCAAGAGTTACACCATCACTGACTCACGTAATCCCATTTCATTGGGCCTTTTGCACACGTTAGCCTTATTATTTGTTCAATAAAAGTTTTGAAATAAGTTTTGAAATTCACGACGTCACGTCCACCCATCAATGATCCCAACTTGTAGTTGTATCTCTACAGACATGATCGGCTGGTATACTTAACATATTGTTCTTTCATGTCTGAGATTTAGCAAGAGTGGATCGCCAGTGTCTGGCCTGGGTTGTCATGACATAATGCCGACTTCACCAAATTAATAATCTATGCTGGTAGCACAGACAAAATCCATGTTTCATGAATAAAGAAACAGGTGTTAGCTTCGTTTGGAAGAATCTGTTGTCCTACGAAGCTGCCCATTGATTTGGTTCTGTGCCTCCATCTACTTCCCGCTTGATAGAACACTGCTTACAACTTGTATCAAAGATTGTTAGCCGGTCTTTGCTCTTTGTGTCTTTGTCAGATAGGTGCCTGTATACAGTGTTTATTGATCCTCGCTCACACAGCAGGAATCGCTCTTCTTTGAGTCGTTCGGAAGCTTGGAGAACCTTCCGAGATCCACGTCAATTTTTGATGAGTCGAGTCTGTCGACCCCCCTCTGCGGAGAGTATTCTTCAAATTCTCTGTTTCACAACCTGTTGTTGCGCGCTAAGTTAAATACATGTAGTTTGTTCAGGAATCGTTCGCTTGATTGATTCTTGGGAAATATTCATGCAATGAATTTGTGTTTCCCCAAACAACTCATGATACGTTTTCCGGTCATTCCTGTCTCACCATTTCTATCGACAATTAGGTGGCCTACTTCGGCCATCGAAAATCGTCTCCTCTCCGAGTGACAATATAATCACAATCAAGAACAGATATCGTGATACTTAGTCGATATGCAAGAACAAAGTGTCAACATTAGACGTCAAGATTGCACCCGAAAGGTGCACCATTTTGTAACGCGCGAGCATGTCATTTATACGGATCAATACTAAAACACGACTCTTAAATGATTATTTAAGAGGAACATGATATGACGAAGCAAGTTGCAATAATTCCAGACAACTTGCAATATCCATTACTGCAGAAGCGTGCTTTGTAGTGCCATGCTACTTAGTCCTATTCGTTACCAGTCCTCATAGCAAATGCTTTGAAAAGCCACAAGAAGTACATGTACATGGTTTGGTGAACACGGTGTTGGTTTGCCGAGCATGTCAACAAAGTATTTCTGTCAAGAAATTACAAATGAGGTTTCTCTGTGTCTCTGAACTTAAAAAACACCACATGAGGAACAAACGATGTGGAAAAATGAATCTTTTTAAAAGAAGCTTGTAGGACGAATTACAATGTAAGTGAGCTTTCGCTATTTGTTTTTGCAGCAAACTCTTTTTTTCGAACGTGCAGCATCGTCATTTTCAGCTTAGGTGTAAATTCAATAGATACCATCCATCACACAGGCTCATTCTGTCTGTCTTTGCAGAGACTGTTGCCTCAAGGTATCTAATTTGTGTCTGTCGCTTCTTCGAATCCTTTCTTTTCAAATCGTCCAAGGCTGGAGTGAGTTTGTTCGTATCTGAAGATGAGTGGTTGCTATTGAGACGGCAATTTCGCCTGAGGGATGTGTATTTACGAGAAGTGGCAGTTGTGGAGTGTGTTGTAATAATAATGAAAAGGCTTTCCTCTTCCCTATTTAAAACTTTCTTTCAACTGTTCTTATTTTGTGCTGTGATTTGCCATTTGGACTGCTGCATACGCTTTGCGAAGGATTCATGGTGCAGCACTCAATGTTCCGACATTATGACTGGCCTAAAACCTATTATTTTAAGGAAGTACGGTGGACGTGAAGAAAAGTATAATCAACAAATAAGGCAGTGTTAAAAATCTATCAAAACTAATTAAATCCAAAATAAATTATGAAAAAAATCCAGACAAGTAGAGTCTTAAGTAAGATTCAAATCAACAGCGGTCGCATCTAAAACGAAACGGTTTAAAATCCTGTATAGGCAGCGATTAGTACTTGTTTTTAGGTTTTAGTTTGTTGTTTTCATTTTGAATTGTCGTCCAGGATTTCTTCTCCCTTTAAGGAACGTTGTTAATTCACACTTTACTAGTTCAGCGTCATTTTGAAATCAATAGCCCTATTTGACAGAGTTTGTCGCTCATATTTCAAAACACGGTGAGTAATATGCAATCAACCTGAGCTGTGGTATTTCGAAGATTTCCCCAACACACCCAATATTTCAACACGTCTGTCAGCCGACAGATCAAATGTTAAAGCATGCTATTATGTGACGCAACCAATTGCCATGGCAACAGCAATGCTACCCCCACTTAGCAGTCAGTTTACACAAGACTTGGTGTCCCGCGTCATAATCATTGGCCGGTCTGCGTGACCTCTACGACCTTCGGGTGACACTGACCTCGCATTATATGACCCTAATTCATTCCAAGGATAGTGTTGTTTATTGTGGTAAGACACGGGTACAATAAGGACCGGGTTTGTCGGGAAAACACTCCCACAAAAACTGTACGAAACTGATCTTTATTGAAACTTACAGAGACTGGTAATCATGACAAAATTGCTCACGGCATAGTGCACAGTCGCAATTAAAAAATGCATCACATTTCGACAGGTCTTTATTTTGCGATTATGAGGATAAAGCGCAAGATTTCTATCCATTCAGGAAGGATGCCCAGTTTGTAATGATACATACAGTGCATACGTCATTGAAAACAAGGCGTGTACGTGTCTGTCATACTGTTATGTGTTTATGTACAGTGTATAGAAGTCTGTCTTTGGCCACAAATCATGCTAATGTCCTCCAATTGTGTCAAAACAGCGGTATTTGGGAAAAGGTTCCATTAGCTTGATTTTCTGAGTCGTGTCAACTTGCAGTATCGCCCAGACTCGTTGTCGTGACTTGAAGCACGTCCGCAGTATACCCCCCGCGTCTTCGTTGTGGTGGTGAGAAAAAAAATTAACCGAAATATGATCTCATTTTATGAAAACGCTGCTCTGATTCATACAAGGCAGGATATGTCGGCTTGCCTGTTCTCATATAGCTTAGAAAGACTCTTGTTCTTTGTATTGGCATAGGAATAAGAAAATAAATTGAATCAAAGGACCTCTGCCAAAACTCGATTTCACCCGGCCGTTTTTTTTTTTTGCATATAGGCATCAGCTCATTTCTATGTTTGGTCTAATCATGGAGGAACTTGAAGGAATGATATAATGTAGAATAATATACAATCCGCACTTCACAACGTAAGTATCGGCACTTGAGTGCGAGATACTGACACGTTTCCAAAAGAGAAGTACATAGCTCCCTACTTTATCCAGCTTGGGCTCCACTCTAACCACAACAGAATGCGCCGTTTTCACTCGATTTGCTCATGTTATTCTCATCGAGTCCTGCATGACGATCAGAGTCCAACCATACACAGTAGAAAAGCGGACAAGAAATACAAGACCAGAGTCAGACCCGCCACAAACCTCCCGATCCACACTGAATCTCACCTGGCCCTTGTACATGTACAGGTGCTCACAATAAGCGCACTCGACGGTTCCTATGGTAGCCGCGGTTCGGTAGTGCGTCGCTACTGTAGCCTGTGTTTACCTTGAAATTGTTGGTATCGAGTCCAGCGTGATAAATCACAATTACCCCCTGCCGGACAATTACTTCTGTCAAAATCTGAACTTCGCAGTCGAGATGAATGAGATGAAGCATTATGGTTCCTTTCGTTGTTAAGCACGACTTCACTGTCCAAAAGAACCGGTGGAACCGCTCAACAATGCTGGACGACACTGTAATGGTTTTTCGTTCCATGAACTTGGTTGAGTTAAATATGGTGGGCGTCTTTCCTTGAATATAATGACCGTACTGACGCAAGTGGAGGTCGAACCAAACTCCGTGTGGTGTCCGCTAAAAGAAATACAAGCAAATTCACACTGCGGTCTTATTTGGTTGTAAAGTCAGCGTGTTGCTAGGGCAAATTATTCGTCGATGATTCAGTTGATGAAACTCACTTGAATGGCTGGAACAAGTCTTCTGGATTGAGGTAGCTAGTGACTGCTCTGGTGTGGTACTTTCTATCTATTGCTTCCTCCAGTTTTGGCTTATTCGTATCAGTTTATAACTTGGGCAAGATTTATCGACTAATACTGCTTTCTTATACATATATTTTATTTTTGCAGATGACATCTTTAGGCAATGCTAAGAGTTTGAGCTTTAAGGACACAGTGAAACTACGAACGGGACTCATTTTTTCGTCAGATTTGTGTATTCCCATAGCCACCCTCATGGTGCCTTAGTAACGCCACGCCCACCATCACCGCACCCCCCAAAAATGAAACCGACATCCAAGAAGCCATCCAGTGCGCCTGCGCGGATATCGGCCAAAGATGACATCTGGAAGGACATCCACGACTGGGCCAAACCGAGCGGATCACGTGGGGAGGATGGGGCAGAGTACGAAGGGGAGGGGACGGCCATGATTGGCTCCCAACTGAAGGACAACGTCACCGAGCAACGCATGCTGGAAGGGCGGCTCTTGGACCTGTCTAAGGAGAGGTATAAGTTCATCGTCCAGGTTGCGTGGCAACGAAAGGCCTTTGTAGATCGTCAAAAGGCCAAAACTGGGGTCATGAAAGACTTGCTGAATGGGATAGACACCTCGCAAGTGGCCACTGGTAAGGGCAAGAACTACAATGCCCGCATGCACGCACGACATGACACTTACAAGGAACTTGTGCTCAAAACGTACGGAGAAGAACAGAAGAGTAAACAATCCTCCACGCCGATGAAGGACGACTGCTCAGAGGGGGGTCTGCTGGAGATGAAACCCATCTTTCCTAACCCTATTCGTCCTGTATTCAAGACGGAGGTCCCTTCTTCATTGGGCAGCCAGCGATTCAATCAAGCGCGTCACTTAATGCTGGACCGACGGAAAAACGCTGGCGTGAATTTCCCTTCCATCGAAGCGAGTCCCGCCAGCAGCGTCGGGGGCCGAGTCTCGGGCCGTGGTGGTGTCCGGAGCCAGGGCCTCATCACACAACGCCAGAGCACGCCGGCCAACTTCCTCCGGCGGGACGTCCACAAAATGGTCTCGCAGTTGGGTGAGTTACGGGAGACTAAGTCAGCCAGCAGTATCCCTAAGTACCTGAAGTACCGGGCAGTCTACGACGGCCGGTTTAACCGCTTGGAGAAGGTGCTTTGCAAGCCGTACACGGGGACCGAGATGGATAGCATGAGAAGTCTCCTACGGACTCTACCACCGGCACCTGCTCCCTCATCACCTTCTCCAGCGCCAGCTAGTGATGCGTGAGTGAGTTCACCAGGGTATATGTGCTGGAATTCATCAGATGACCGGTTATCCACTACAATTATTACTGGGCATTGTGGCAGAGATGTGAAACCTCAAATTTCGAAACGTCAAGTATAAGTATTATGAAGAAGGGCATTACATGTGTTAACTATGTCAACTGAAATTGCGCAGTAATACAGTTTAACCCAGTTTAGAACCCTTCTATAAAAGTGAATGGCAATAGGTGTAGCTAAATGTGGAATGACATCTTGGGTAAGTGTCCACGCTGCAAGTTTTGGTGCTAATGACTGACGTCAAATGCCATGTCTAACAGTCGACGTATCAGCCATTATTTACTGAATGACGAACACGGTAAGATCATGAGCCGGGATACTGTATGATGTCATAAGAAGTTGCATCAAATTTTCTCCGGGAAAAATTGAAGAACTGATCAGAAAATACATGAGACTTCTAATAACAATTTATTTTCATAATTTGTTAAAAACCCATGTACTGAACGAAGTACATTGATTTGTACTCAAATACTGCACTGCTATTGTTTGAAGCGATGTGAACAACGAAAAACAAGAAAAAAGATTAATGAACTTTTTCAGTTTATTCACGCTGACATTTACATGGGATACACACAAAATGGGTCGAAAAATAATTAGTGACTATATGCTAAAAGTCTCTTCTGAAAGTCAAGTTTATAAAAGTTGCAAATCTTAATTATATGTTGCTTGATCATTGATTCATTTTCAAGACCTAAGGAGAGAGGAAATAATGGCACAGAAGGTAATTAAAATTAGTGATATTGATAGGTCTGATAGTGCTTTGATCTTATAAACAAAAGTGAACCCATAACACTTTTTTTAAACCAGAAAATTACATCACATTGCATGCCATGACGACAGCATCGTTTAGAGGCGTGTATGCCGAATGAGATATTACATAATTTGATCTTTATTAGTAATATTTACCCATACATGCATTTTAAACGAAATAAATCTTCTAAAAGAATTTACACCATTATGGGCATTTTATGATTTATTTCAGTTTATGGTTAATTAATGGTTTATTTCAGTATTTCACGCAAATCACATTTTTTTACCCAACAAGTTCACCGAATAACGAAGCAAAGCCATGTATGTTCAATATCAGTTCTGACTCAGTAATACATGCTTTTATAACTTAAAATCTAAATATAGGACAAGTAAGACTTGAGGGTTTGCACTGTAGGAGGCTTGTGGGCGCACCATTTTAGGGGAATACCTTTTTAAAGCTTTTGACTTACTGACTGGTGATGTAAATGTATGGCACGTGTTATACAATAAAGGCCTCAATCAAATGAGAGCGCTTTATATAAGAGTTATGCGACAGTCCGAGAGCGATGACTTGACATGTAATGTGTACAGGCTAGTGAAGGGATTGCTGACTTGGCAGGGAAGAGCAATGCAAGTCCAACTTTATTCAGGTCTGCTATCTCCAATGCCTTATCAGACAGCCCACTCCACTATTTCTCTCAAGAAGACCAGAGCATCATTGTAAGTGGGATCATCAGTGTACTACACCGTACAAAAACCTATGCAATAAGTTCATTTGAGCCACTCGAGGTGGCCAACGTTGGCCAGGGCCCCCCAAAAGAGCCCCTTTTTGTTAAATAATGAGAGAGGCGATTTGGGGGTATCTTTCAATAGCCTTTTTTTCCAAAAGCATTTCAGCTTGATTGCTTGGATAATTAGCCTTTACTGTTCGACGATGATGCACTGAATTTTTCTTTTAAAGACTTTTCATAAATTTTTTCTTCAAAGGACCAACGAATTGGCATGAGACAAACAAAAACAAACAAAAAATTGCCCATGCCGTTCTTGACATTTGTATGAGGGTTGCTTTGAGGTCAATTTTCAAAAGACACCATTCATTTCAGAAGTTTGCTGTTCAAACTGTGAAGCCAAAATTTGCTCATTAATACATTCCTGACAAAAGGTTGCTGGGTGACTTATTGCCCTGCCACGTATGTTCACTCCCATGCCTTTGTACACCATTTAGTTGAGAGTTAGCGCATGTGCATTCGATCACTTTATTGTGTATTTCGAGGAAAGCGACGTTGAACACTGTTCCGACACTTTTTTCTTCTGATGGATACCATAATTTATTTTTAACAAATACAAACAAATACGGTTCACGGAAATAATCTGATAACTAAAAATGATTAGACAGCATTATACCACCGTATTAGATGAACCCAGTTGTACAAAATTGGAAACAAATTCCGAAAAAGTGATTTATAAAAAAATAAACACGATCAGATTTGAAAGAAAATCTGTCCACAGTGTTTCCCATTTTTGAACCACTTCTCCAGTTTATCCAAACAAACAAAATAAAATATCGTGTGTATAAAGTCGTGATAAAGAGCTCAACTCTTCAGAACTTCAGTTCATATCCTCCTAATTATATAAGTTAATTTGTCCCATGTTCTGTCGATCACGCAGGGTCAGTAAGTTACGGAAGTAAAAGAAGGACCGCAATGAATTCTTGTATGCTATATCTTGCTAAGGGGAGTTGCTCTCTTACCACGACGAGTTGGAAAAGGGGAGGCTGAACGCCCTTGCACAGTACACCTGGGGGCGCTGTTCATGATGCGTATATCCCTGCTTCAAGAAGCACAATACGAAGTTAACCTATTTTATACAGCCCTCTCAGGTAAATGAAGATTGCATTACAAAAATGATTGAAATATAATTTCAAGTTTCTAGGCTTCTCATGACGAATAACAAGCTGTTGCTGTGATGTCATTTCACGAATAATGAGCTCCGCAACAATTGCCTGTCGAACGCGGTTATGACCAAGCTTTGCTCGCTATCCTGTCGCTATGTACTGAATCTGTTGCAATTCACTATAGAAACAAATATCTCCAAAATTGTAGCAAATTTTGAAATGGCGGCGACATCGACAAATAGCACTACACTTCGGATAATCAAATTATGTTGGAGAATTAAGCATGAAATAAAAAAATGCACTATGCAGTTAAGAAAGCAAAACCGATGAAAAAACGGTGTAGTGGGACACAAAATAATAAGACACGTTTAGAAGGACTACATGAAGAAAAAATACAGGCCCTTTTCAGTTCGCATCTACGCACTGTATTTAGAAACAACTACGGTCAACTATGGTCTATTCATTTTGACTCCTGAAAAGTCACTTCAAATTCCACGTGCTCCTGTTTCGCTCCTCGGAAAAGTTCAAGGAAACAACTACGTGGAACATGGGGAATACGCCTCCAAACCAAAAATTCCCTTTGTTGGAAACCAAGCTTTGTTGAAAACCAGGATTTCCTTTTATTGGAAACGAGGTCCCAAGCAAAGTAAACTTGCCGCTCTGACTGCATCTCACTCTGAGGACACACTTTACAACGATGGAGAGCTAATTGGACTAGACGCAGTGATAACCAAATCGCCGAAAACAAGTAGACTAAAAGGCTTAAGAACCAACAGAAAAGAATAAAAAGTGGGTAGATCTGTTGTTTATGAACTCTGCTATTTCCATACTGGGTTCCAAATTAACCATTTCAGCTATTTATTCAGTGTTACTACTCAGCAAATTATATACACACTTCGTATCGTCTTCGTTTCCTTTCCATTTGACTAGTCCTTGCTATTTTTCTCAAAAAAGACAGGTCTCAGAGATCTCTACATTTGCAAAGCGTTTTAAAATGCAAGCCAATAAATAAAAATGTGTGTGACAGTAAACTGTATAAAGTTCTTCGGCAGAGTCACTTACGAATTTACATAAAAACACCGCGTTGCGCTATTCTAGTTATACCTTCATACAAAGACACAATTAACATGTTATAAAGGCTAGCCTTTGGGGAAACCCGTGATCAAAGAAATATATTAAGACTGTAATTACATTCATATGCGTCATTCAGCAAATGCATCTTGTTTGAAGCACCCTGGTGTTACATCATTGGTTGGCATCTGCATCCAGTAATTCTACAAAACCACAGTGATATCAGCGTTTATGTCAGTTGACCCGTTGAAGCAATGAAATATCTTCACGACCAAGCAGCTGACAATCGCAACTATATTCAATTTTCTTTTGTGGTGTGTTCAGGGAATGTAGGAATGTGGAGGGATTTTTAAATTCGGTCCCCGGCATTTAGTTGTACGAAGAAACCCAATGCATGTACTGTGGGTTTTTTTTTAGCAAAAGGGAGCATTCTATTGTTATTTGTCTTTACTTCGGAAATGTTCACATACAACACATGAATGTATCCCCGTCACCTGATTTGGGGGTCGTACATCATGTGTCGTGAAATATTCACTGTAGTGTGTACATCTATAACCCAACTCGGTTGAATATGCCGTTGTGATACGTGGTGTACGTGGGAGGCATAGTTGCGGCTCATTACACAAAAAGCTCTACGGACGATACTGATAAAACACATCTGTGGAATTCCATTACTACTGTTTACAACGGCGCATCGTCGCATCGTCGCGTTATCGTTTTTGAGAGCTTTTTCGGCAGTTATAGGTGGCGCTGTCAAGCTATGGCTCGGTCACCCTTCCTGTAAACGTAAACCTATATGTATAGCACTGCAGAAGAGTTTGCACAATTTGTTACTTTTTGGAAAAAAGTTAGCCGACGAAACCTACTTTTCTTCCCATCCCGATTCCTGAAGATGGACACAAATTCAGATTATAGGGGCCTACATTAATGAACCCAGTATCCTGTCAAGTACATTAATGAATACTTTCGGAGCCTATGATCCAACTGACTCAACAGTGGGGTGCCTCCCTTATTCCAAAAATTGTGCATTTATTTTGATTTGTCCATGGTACTCAACTATTACTGTGTATGATGTGACTACACAGTATCCAATAATTTTGTGGGAAAAGAGTTCTAGTGGCCCAGTTACTTGGACCATGCTCTGCACTGTGTCTCGCTGATAGTCTAATAAATCATCAAAATAGCCGTTTTAATTTTTTCTGGATAGATTAAACTCCCTCTTCCAAGTTAAACGACTGTTCAAAATGGCGCCTTCTGGTTCACAAAATTGTACATAATGTCACTTTATTACTTTTAAGGCAGTTCCTGACCAGTACAGTATTTCACTTTTATTTTATCTTATCCGATTATTTTGCAATCCCTCCTCAACCTTATGTTAAGTGACTTTGTAATTGCATCGTTGCAACGGATCGATTTACTTATCTACGCGTAGGCCCCACTTGTCAGGAGATAAACTTGTTTGCCATTAGTTTGGAGCAGGTTACACCTATCCTGAAATCTACGGTAGTTGGCAAATTCCACATGGTGTGTATTGCAGGTATTTATCAAAATTGCTTCCAGAAGTGATTGAGAAAGAACATTTTTTGTTTAAGTGGTTACATCTAACAGCGAAACACTGGATGGGCTTAGTGCCCAAATGAGACAATGCGACGATGCGACGACACGACGCGACTATGCAAAGATACGACTACGCAAAGATGCGCCTTTGTAAATGCCAGCAATCGAATATTTTCTGTCAGCTAGTGAAATTATTCTTACCATTGCACTCGTTAACATGCATTATTCGAATAGTAGTCAACAGCATTCCCAAAGCCCAGTCTTAATGCTAATTGCAAGGCGTGTAGATCCTCCATTCCGCGTGCTCCATGGAGTACAGCTTAATCTTCCTGATTTCTTTCGAGTCGGCCGAATGATTCAATCGCATCAGGGGAGCTTCGCTTCCTTCCTTCCCAACTTGTATCTCGTTGGTGGTGCTAGCTAGCCAGAAGCGGCCGCCAGCAGCTTGAATTCCCTGCAAACTTTCGATACTATCACGGGGGCTGTGCTTGCGGAAAATGGTTGAGGAAAATTGCCGGAGTTCTGTCAGAACCAATGAGAGAGAGAATGGTTAAGCAAGGCTATTAAACTTCCTTGACGAAACAAATTATGGGAAAATGACCAAAAAAAAAATAATTTTAAATAATTTTTGAATTTTAGTAGGTGACATAATCCATATGAGGATTCTGGACCAGCCCCGCCCAAATCCGACACCTGTTTCAGTTCCCCCATAGGCCTATACCACGGCAAAAAGTCACCAACGACGCCCCGGCCGCGCCTATGAGGTGAGGCCGGCACTTGCTACCCTAGCTGCATGCGCTCGGGCTTTCTCGTGAGCGCCGTAACTTTATTTGGGTCTACAAAAAATTGAATATTTAAAAATTTAAAAATATTATTTTACGCTCTAATACTACAACCTCTTGTGAAAATTTTTGCCGGTCTGCCAAAGGAAATTCGGGCGAATACGTGAGCATTTGCAGAGATAAACCTCGATACACAAAGATTATTATATGCCAAGGCGATCAGGGCGCATCGACGCCAAT